TGTGTGTATTAGATTGGATGAAATGTATCGTTTGGTATGTATTTTTTTTTATTAATTTTATTATTTATTTAGGAATTTTAAATATGTTTATTATTTTCCAAAAAAAAAAAATTTAAATGTAACCACAATAATAACATCTAATCAAATTATACGGTCAACACATTATATGATCAACTATCAGTAATCAAAAGTTTAAAATGATTTTTGCAATTTTGAAGTGATTAGTGTGTTGATTATCTAATAATTAAATGAAAGGTTAAATAAATACAACACACAACAAACTAAACACCAAACAAAAACACACAAACCACTAAACACAACATAAACAAACGACAAAAAACCAAAATAAACGGCACATAAAGCCCTTCCCCGGCTGAAATACCCGAGCCCTGCACAAGGCACCGGCAGAACAAAGGCCAACCAACCCACAGCAAGATCCACAGTCAGGACTCCACTCCCGAAACTGCCAATAGGCCTAGCTGGAGCCGAATCCCGCACCCCGAACCACCACGAGATAGTAGCCGACCCACAGCAGGACAACCGAAGCCAGACCTCACCCCACACACCTCAACCCCGGACCCTGCCAACACCACTGGACTAGGCCCAGAGGTGTCGGTCTTCCCCGACTTACACACCAGAACATCGGAGAAACGGGGAGATCGAGCCACGCTCATCAATCCCGGACAACTCACCACCGATGACGGAAAGCAGCCAGAACCCCTCCCCAGCCCAATCGCACACCACCTACCAGCACATCCACCCCACCGGAGAGGCCGGAAGACCCCACCACGAACGGCATCTAGAGGTCGGCGAACACTGTCCGCCAAACATCCGCTCGTCAACAATGGAGCGAAAAGTGAGGAGCCAGCCCAAAATCGGGGCAAAGGAAGGCAACTAAAGGTCAACCGCCGGCAGGAGCGCCGGCTATTTGCCGGGAAAGGCGAGGAGAAGCGCAGAGACGGCAAGGGAGATCGGCAATTTAGGGTATAGAGAGAGAAAAGGGAAAAGAGAGAGCTATGTAGGGGAAAAGAGAGATTAAATGAAAGGTTAAATAAACTAAAAGTAACGGCTTTTGGAGGAAAATGGTTATATTGTCACATAGATAAAATTAAATAAGTTTTATTAAATGCTAACAATCAGTAATTATAGATATATAGATACCATTATTGCATTACCATTACACAACATAATTTAATTATGTTCATATTTTGTATTAAAATGTTAAATTCTAAAAACAATATAAATTATATTATGAAATTTATTTATATAAATATGTATTTTTAATTAACACCCTCATTTTCGTTAATACGGCAATGTTATATTAAAAATGTTGCAACACATTTATTTATTGTGAAAATAGTTATTTTTCAATCCTAAATATATATTTCGCATTTCACATGGTGCGTTACCTAATGGGATTGTGAAGTTGCAATCATAGTATGTGATGCAACGTGTCTGTGATGGGAGAACGAAGAACACGAAGAAAATATTTTCTTTCTGATACAATTCAATAATACTTGATAACTACTAGAATAAACACATCCCATTGGTTTTTAATACAACAAGTCTTAACCACCTATGCTTAAAAGCCAAAACCAATAAGCGCAAACACAACAAACCCAATACAACATAAATATAAATAATAATAATAAAAAATAAAATAACATTCAAATTATTGAGACGAGTCGATTGAAATATAATAATTCAATCTCTTCGGCATCAGTATGTGATCACGTAGAGCAATTATATGGTGCACTCGTTTAGCATGATCATAATCAAACTATCTAAAATTTTTTAAGAAAAAATTATTTTAAATTAGTTAAAATAAAGTAATCTATTTTTCACAGTGAAAAAGATATCCGCATACAAATAAGTAATATCATCACGAAAATCGCCTTTTCCAAATTTGATACGAGCAACATAATTTCTGGTCAAACTTAAAAAACTTTCGAAAGAAAGAATTTCCGTACATGGAATTCACACTCTACTAAAAGCACCATTTAAAAAGGTCCAAGAATTCAAGAAAAAAGTAAACCTTTTGAGATGTGTGTAAACGCACATGCCGTCGTACACTCGTATCATTAGAAATCTTTATTACGA